TACCTAAATGTACTTAATACTTTTTAGTACGCCGCCATCATATGAAAATCTTATCGACCCTGGAAATTTTTCTTCATTATCTTAATGTCCTGGTGGAACCGTACTCCTTGTTCCTCAATGTAAATACCCAGGTTATCAGGGAATCTATTCAAACATCAATAGTCAAATACGAAATGTAATTCAAACCCATATTGGATTTAATCTTTTAAAAATTTGAAAATATAAATAATTTTATAATTTGTCACAATTGTGAAGATTTTTATTCCGTTACCAATCATGGTTTCAGTCATTCCAGTCACACAATTTTATACTTTTTCTAGATTGATAAATTGATGTGAATGGGAGCCTCTGTGGACAGCACTTAGGTATATATACGGCCCATTGTGCAAACCCCCTTTTGGTTGAGCTTATAAGAAAAGTGGAGACCCTCTCTGGTCGGGCATGCTTTATTTAATCCAGTTCTAGATATTTGTCCCCGAGGTGTTAATAGCAGACTTTTCAACTAGTCTACAGCGTTGCATTCGCAGACTATATATCCAGTAGTCTATTTCGATGCAGTAACTACAATCCGTCTCGTTGCTTATTCGGGGTTTGTGCCCTTTTAGGACGCCTGTGATGGCTCTTAGTTGGGTCCTGTTAAGTTTCATATTTTTGTCTCTTGCAGTTTGTAGGACCCTGTATAAAGACCCTTCAACTGGTTAGTCCAGTGCCTAAAATTGACTTTTACCAGACAGAAGGCAACCCCTATAGCAGGTTCTGACCATATAAAGGTGGTGTTTTCCTCACGAGCCAGCTGGTCTGCTTTCTCATTGCCTTTAATACCTCGATGAACCGGTACCCAGACAAAGGTGACCTTTTTTAGTAAACTGAGTAATTCTAGGATTTTAGATCAGTCTAGCGTAAGTCTCTTTCTGAGAAAATAGCCTGCTTGATTGTCGCTACGTATGTAAATATGTTTACCCAAATTATCTCTCTAGAGATTCTCTTCAGCGCAGATAAGGAAGGCATAGTCTGGTATGTCGCTCTCCATATATTTCAGCTCCTGCACCTTAGAGACTCGTCCGTGTACCAGATGGGCCCCTTTGATTTGAGGAAGCCTTCAGGTTCGATCCAGTCGTTTCTAAAAGGGAAAACGATTTTATATCTAAGAGGGGTTAATGTCCTTGCATCCCTTTTTGTGAAAAGGGGGGGTCCTGGTTAATAGTATCAGTCCAGACCTTTGCATGCCAAGAGTTCTCCACTCTGTGAGCCCATTGTGGTTCTAAAAGCTTTAATTATGCCCATGTAGTCGTTTCTTGTATGTGGATTTGCTTGGCGCATTCCACCATACTAGACTGCCGTATGTATTCATTGGCTTCATTACTGCTGTGTAAAGCCAGTCTAGTATACGGGATTGTAAGCCCTAGGCTATGTGACGATCTATTAAGGAGAAGTTGATTTGTAAAAAGGAGGTACCAAAGATTTAGGATAGAGATAGGACCCAATTCCTGGTGACGTGATCTTTCCAGTTAATCCTGGAGTCAATGATGACTCCTAGATATTTAACCGGTTTAGATAGGGTAAGTTTTGATTCAAAGAGCGTGAGCCCTTTTAGGTTTACATTTCTTCGGTTGGTGAATGGTACCCCTTTGGTCTTGTCCGGATTGACGGATCTGATCTTTATGCCAAAGCTTTCTGCGGCTTCATTTATCGACTCGAAGGAAGTATTGTTAAATGCTTCTTCGATGTCTAGAAACGTGCCTCTCCAGTCTTGTCACAAGGCTGTAAAATGCGGTCTTCCTCGACATGCGCATTTTTTTTATTGTCCCATAATTAATAAATATGTTGACAAGTTTCTCCATAGTTTTAAAATGAAGATAGACTAATATGTCTATAATCATTTGAACCTTTTGCCAATATTAAGGTACGTAGTCTGGAAACTGGTCAACGTTATTGCACAACGTCCTCCAATTCTCTTTTAGACATTCTTATGAAATCTTTGAATCTACGCTGAGAATGCTTCTTGCTGTCTCAATCCGCAGAATATTTAGACCACATGGCCCTGTTAAAGAACCTGCGGGTCTTTTCAAGGTCAGAATTCTACCAAGGGGTTTTCTTTTTGCCTCTGAAGCTGGCAGCTTCGTTCGTATGATTGCTTTCGGTACGAATTCGACTGTTTTCTAGAGTTGCCGAAAGCTGTTGCATGGCGTGCGAGAGTCCTTTAGCTTAGTCCTTAGCATCTCAACATACTGGCCCCAATTTGTGTTTCAGAGGTTACTGAACCTACTGAGCCCAGCCTTGTGATTTAGGTCTAAGCTAAAGAAAATGTGCCTGTGATCCGAGAGGGACTGTTCGTTAGACACGTTCCTGTTTCTTCAGGATCATATAGAGGAAACCCAATGTCAAGTGTCAAGATGTAGTGCCGTGGTTTAAGATTTCTAGATCTGTAGTATGTAGATACTTCAAAAGACTGAGCCCTCTCCGATGATGTGCGTTGGCATCGTACACGACAATCAGCGGTAGGCCCAGTGTGCTGCAGTACTCCACTATATCAATGAATTCCTGTGCTGGAGGATCGTCCATCGAGTCATAGCAAACTACCAACGATTTGTTGTATCCTGGTCTATCCTTAAAGCATAGCTTTACCGCTACTAGGTTCCCAGAACAAAAATTAGTAAAGACTCCATCCGTCTATCCACGTAGAAACAAGCCCTTGGAATTAGTTGGTCGTCTCTTTTATGTAAGAGAAATCTTTCTCATTTACCAACGCTTCTTACGCGGTCTCTACATTTACCTATAACCTATATATATTTAATATAAGATATTGTTTTAGTAATAATTTAAATAATTATGTTACTAAATAAAAAACGAAAAGAGTGGAAAGTTAAAAAAATACTAGTGAAGCCAATTATTCTCATTGCATTTCAATTTGTATACACATAAATTACAAGATTGTTTTAATTAATACTGTACTGCAGTAATAAACTTAATAATTAATGTTAACTATAATATTATTTAAATTAACAAAATATTACTCTAAATATTTTTATTGTTTGAAAAAACTTTTTTCAAGCTTATTACGGAATTTGGCCATTCGTATATTTTATAAGTTGTTATAAAAAATGTCACTGATGATCGATTTTAATGATGAAATAATTTGGACCAAACGGGTGGTTGCAAACTAGCGTATTCCAAATTATATACATAATCATAGTCGCCTACTACCATAAAACCTAACTTTCTTCCAACTCGGAAGTTCCAAGTAAATTATTTCTTTCTGGTATGCGTAGAAAATGTATGCTGTATTACAAAATTGTTACTAAATACACTAATTAATTTTATAGTGTCAATAATCGTCTGATTAATAAAAAAGCTTAAATAAATACAGGGTGTTAGGTAATTAATGTTATATATTAAAATACTGAATACCTTTTGACATAAGGAATAAAGGAAAAATATTTAAAAAAATCTTTTTCCAAAGATAAAGAAAAAATATGCATTAGAAGTTTTTTATATTTTTTGTGATACGCCACTGGTTACACACTTGGTTTATCTCTGCACACTTGTATTCTGTGAGTACATAGATACCAACCAACAAAGTAGCTACGCGTTGCCAGATGTAAAAAATTGTTATTAAAAATTTTTCTTGTAAAAAATAAATAAAAACTCAATAAATACAAAAGTTTTATGCCCTTAAAGCTCTAATACCCTTCTGTATTTATTTACTCATCCAGCTATTAGCTTAAGCAATGATTAGAAAATTTAGTACCTATTTTAAAAAATCCATAACCACAAAATTAATTTTTTCATCAGTTTTTTTCTTTCTGTTTACGCAGATGAAATTGGGACCAGTTCACAGGTTAAACTTTAAACATTTAATTTGTGTAAATAAATCCAAAAGCACTTCCCTTAGTTAAGATATTTACAATTTGAGCACATAACCTAAAATTTTAAAGAAATGCACTAGATTCTGTCATAAAAGTTGTCAGATTTTGTTTGAATTTACCTTCAGTACAAAAATGACAAAACCAACAATTAATAAAAACGCCAAATTGACAACTTGCATTGTTAATTTTGTCATTTTTGTAATTAAGCTAAATTTAAACAATGTTTGTCAACTTCTTTGACAGATTTTGGAAACACTGTTGTTACCAACCATAACATAATAAATTAAATTAGGCAACCAGAATAGCCTAAAGTTGCTACTCGATCAGTGGCGTACTTTTTGGTAGGATAAAGGTTATTATAAATTATTTTTAGACTTTGGAATTTAGAAAAGTTTCAGGTGCTTCTTTATGGACCCTAAGGAACAACCCATTTTAATATATAACATTAATTACATAACACCCTGTATAATACTCCATAAAATAAAACATCGGTAAAACCTTATAGCATTTTCATTTAAAAAATAAGCCTTAGGCCGTTAGAATACAAAATATAAAAAATACATTTTAAGTAAGATCGATATAATCCCATTAAATTTTAATCACATCTACGCCTACCCTTAAACATAATGGTGGCTTTATAAGTTTAAATGGTTTTTTAAAATATTATATTTAAGAAGATTCTTTATCGTAGATATTATTTATAATTTTTACATAAGAAAAAAAAATAAAAACCTAATTTTAATTTTCTCATTAGATTACAATGTAGCCCATAAATGCCATAATTTATTTTTAAATATTAAATCTGCCCATTTTACATAATGTCATTTTATTAAGAAACCCATATATTTTCTGTAAAAACTTCTTGTGGCAAACATTTTATTTATAAAAAGTGTTCTTCTAACTTTGTTAAAGGCATCATAAAATCTGGTGGTTTAAGATGTTGGGAACCGTTCGTTTATGTTCTAATATTTTACAGCCATATAACTACGGCTGCAGGGTGGTGTAAAATTGCTGTTTAACCACCTGAAGAACGAAGCCGGAGGACATGCGCCCTTTCAGCCTTACAGCTGAAAGCGTGTGGAGCTCTTTCTGATATTTTCAGTACATTTTCATCAAGCTAGGCTGCAAGAGGTGCGCCGAAATTGTTTCGCACGTGCGCCTTTTTGCAGATCACTTCGCATTGTTCAGGAATTCCGCGCAACCTTTTCCGATCGCCGGTTTATTTTCACGGATTGTTTTGTAAGTACAGCCATCTTTGTGATAATAACATTTAAAAATAAGTTATTGTAAAACTTGACAATTTTATGATCCATAAAGAACCTTCTTATAGTTTTCAAAATGAACAATAAAATTTAAATATTCATAGGCTTCTGCAACAAATTATTTTTTAAACCCTACTAAAACCAAAATATTTATTTAACAACAAAATGTATATAAAGTATTGTATGTGTAAATATTAAGTAAATTTTTACCCCATATAAATAGCAAAAAATAAAATGATATTTTTTTATTGTATATATATTGTTATTTATTACATAAATATACATTTCAATAAGCTTATAGCTTGTCTAGGCATATAAATGTTTTGAATTACATAATCAAACTCGCTATACTTAACCTTTTTTACATTTATTATAATGGAACTTTATTTCCATTATCTTTTCTTATTTATTACATTTTAAATATTTACATCCATATCTTCTTTGAAAAAAAGTTCCTCCTTAAATTACCAAATTTTATATTTTAATACAACCAATTTTGACTTTTATTTTTGACATACCAAGTATAAAATCATAGACAAGGGATTGGTTGGGTGGGGGGGGTGGTTTATAAAATAGTAATTTAAATAAATATAAAGGTTGTATCAAATAAAAGTACATTTTCGGAATAAAACAAAGGTATATATTTTTACTATCAAGAAACTATCATTGGAACTTTATATTATTAGGTAATTAATCAACAAAATATCTTAAATCAAAGCATACCTCACGATAAAAACCTGGGTGATTCATTCAACAGCAACAACCAACATTATTTTTTTTATTTTAAACTGCAAGCATATTATCCAAGATTATTTTGTAGCACTTAGAATAGAATTGGAAGAGGATCATGCTCTGAACATACATCTCTTAGTTTAATGGCTGACTTGATTCTGTTACATTTCATGGCCTGCGAGGTCGCCGAACTTTTTCTACCTCTCTAATTTTTAGTGAGATATTATGAAACTATAAATTAAATGATTAAAATTATCACAACTGAGTCAAGCCACGTCAAGTGGGACCAGAAAATTTCACGAAATCACCGATTTTAAAAATAATCGCATTATTGTGTAGTAGGCATGACTCATATGTCACAGTAAAAAAAATGTTTTAAAATTCGTTTTTTTGGTAATGTTATTAAGGTTGACAATTTTGTCAAACTTTAGAGCACGGTAAAATTAAAAAAATAGAATCTCTGGGACCACTCTGTATAATTGAATTATATTTTACACACTATTGTAGAAATGTTTAGACTATATAATGATCATTTAATTAAGGTTAATTTGTATAAATAAAAGAATTTTGCATACATTTATTATAAACAATTGAAATTTTGTATGTGTTCTTCACGCTGAAAAAAAATTAATCTTGTGTCGTAATATGCGGCAAACGTTCCCGTTTAATAAAATGTACTCAAAAATTTGTCCTTCATATTTCATTCCGAAGATATTAAATTTTTTGTCCCGCTGTGCGCTTGATCAGTACGCGGCGCGCTTCGCTGCTAGCTCGTCAGCACACGGTGTGCCTGAACGAAGTTTAAGTCACATAAAAATGCCGCCAAAAACTGATTGAAGTTTCTTGTTCGGGACCCTTTGATGACTTAAAAATGATATTTACCAAAATCCTAGCTGCTCCTCTTTTGAAAAATCTTTTTTATGCATTATGCTTTTTACTATATAAAAAGTGACTTTTGTCTAACCCTGTATAAATCTAATGATGTGCTCAGTAAAAAAACAGTTTCTCTCGTTAACAATATCGGTGTACAAATATGTACTCTGGCAAAGGTAGACTTTGCGATAAACAAATAATTAAAAAAAAATTGAATTTTTTACAAATTTCAAAAAAAGCAGTTTAAATTTTGGTAAATATATTTTTTAAATCACCAGAGTGCCGGTCAAAAAACTTCAACCAATTTTTCGTTCAAAATTGAAAACTACTAAAAACCCTAAATTAAACAACATTTTAAATATCCTCTAAGCATTATTTTATTAAATTTTATTAAAAATCTATTTTTCTTGTAAAAGGTTAATAATATTGCCATTATGAAACCTGATAGACGTAGAAGCAGCTAGGACTTTGGTAAATATCATTTTTAAGTCACCAAAGGGTCCCGACTTAAACTTCGTTCAGGCACACCGTTAAAACAGAACGGACGAGCTAGCAACAAAGCGTGCCGCGCACTGATCAAGCGCACAGCGGGACTAAAAAAATAGTATCTCCGGAATGACATATGAAAGACAAATTTTTGAGTACATCTTATTAAACGGAAACGTTTGCCGCATATTATGACACAAGATTAATTTTTTTTTCAGCGTGAAGAACGCATACAAAATTTCAATTGTATATAATAAATGTATGCAAAATTCTTTTATTTAAACAAATTTACCTTAATTAAATGATCATTATATAGTCTAAACATTGCTACAATAGTTTGTAAAATTTAATTCAATTATACAGAGTGGTCCCAGAGATTCTATTTTTTCAATTTTACCGTGCTCTAAAGTTTTACAAAATTATTAACTTTAATAACATTAACACGTTCACTGCCGACGAAATAGTCCGCCCATATTGCAGTGCCGATGTTTTTTTTTGGAAGTTTTAGCTAAAAATGGACTTAAAGTTGTTTATCGTTTCTTATCGTAAGGTTCTATATGAAAAAATACTAAAACAAAAAACAAATAAACAAACGCGGTAGACGCGTTGGCTGCACCCAGCGACAAAAACAATGCTATATGCCATCGTACAGAACGCGGGTCCCGCGTGCTCGGCATATTGTAAAATACACAAGAACGCGGTAGCCGCGTTGCCGGCAGTTAAAGGGTTAATAAAAAACCGAATTTCAAAACAAATTTTTTACTGTGACATATGCGTCATGCCTACTACACAATAATGTGATTATTTTCAAAATCTGTGATTTCGTGAAATTTTCTGGTCCCACTTGACGTGGCTTGACTCAACTTATAATGAATAGATATAGTTAATACAATGCCATTCACGGGCGTCGATAAGGGGGGGTAACACATCAAAAATAAGTTTTAACATTTATAGAGGCAAAGAAAAAGGCAAAGCCAAATGAAATAAATTGTTCTTTAAGGTTCATTTACATCAACAAGCCCATCGCGCAGCAGCATTGCCAACCCTTACCAGCATAAATACAAACAAAATTGTTACTTGAGTATACACTTCAAAGCACAGGCTCCGCTTAATACTGTAAATACTAAACCCTAGTTATGTGGTATCGTCGTACTCAAAAAAATGTGCACTATCAATTTTCGAAAAAAAAAGTGGGATTGATATTTAAGATAAGGGTGCCTAATTTGCGGGGGGGGAAATGGTGGGGGCATAAAATTATCATTATAAGATTTGGAATAAAAAACTAAAGTTTACGTGTCCGAGCGTTTTTCATAGAAATCTTTTCTCAACGAATAACGAATTTTATTCCATAAGTGAGTTCCACACTGTATACCTAATTGGAAATTTTTTATTTGTTTTTTACTACTGATTTGACACTTAAATTCTTTACTGACGATATTAGCCACTCGTTTATAGCATTACAAAGAAACAGGACAAACTTACATTTAATGTTAGGAAAAGCTTTAATTATTTAAGGTTTTACTTTTTTATTGGCAAAATGGTAAATTTAAAAAATATAACATTTTAAAACAGTGGTTTCCAAACTTTTATACAATAATAATGTTTTGCCGTCCTTTAATGTAGTATCAAAACTGACCGCTCAAATTCCTAAATTTGTGCTTTTTAAAAAATTGTTTAATGTTTTTTTAGTTCCTAAAAAATCTCAGAAGCCAACTAAATGCGGGTAAGGGGAAGGAACGGGCCGCCTCTGAAGGACTTATACACAATAGGACAAACACAAATAAACAACCATAACAATGTGGGACTCGAGCCCACGACATCTCGGTTGTAGTCAGTAGCACTAACCTAGCACTAACCTAACCTTGTTGGCGGAAACATTCAAATATTGAATGCTTTTTAAATATTTTTTAGCAAGAAATAACTTTCCAATTTTTTATCCAAGTTTTTGTTAAAAAATTGAACGTTTATTTACTTGTGGAATCATAATTTTTTCTGGGAATTACTGCTTTAAAAATACCATAAATTACAAGCAAATTTAATGGCGAAAGGGACATTTTGAGTTTTGCCAAAATAAAGTTAACTTCTATACCATTAAAATAACTTTAAGTAATTATATTAATTCCTTTTCAAAACTATGGTCATATTATTTAAGTGTAAATTTAAAACATAATAATAATTATATGATACAAGATTTATATTATGTTAAGTTTTTAAGATTTATGATGTTATATTTTTTAATGACAATTTTATTATTATTGTAGTTACAAAAGCTATATTTAAAACGCAGGAAAATAAAGCTGCTTAAAGTTGCACAGAACATTCTGACAAAACTCTAATAAACTATATAAAACTTTTTCCCTAGTGATAATATGGGACGCATCCGGACGGCCAAGTGACAAAAGATTATGTATTATATATTTGATTAACTAAAAACGTAAATTTTGATATTTTATGCAACGACCATTTAATGGTGGCTATTAAGACATAAATATGATAATTATGACATGAGCCTAAGGCGAATATCATAATGAGTGCGAGTATCTTGACAGCCCATTAAATAGTAGTTGCATACATTATACGAGTATCATAACAAAGTAGAAAATTAACTTTAAAAAATACTTAGGTTATTACTTGTCAAATTTAATAAATATTAGATCTGTCAGATGTCCAACGCAATAGTTAAAATTGACAGAATATTGTCGTGTTTACATTTATATTGGTTAATATAATCTGTACCGTAATTTAAAATGTATATCATAATGGATCCTATTATAGTATACGGGTAGGAAATGTCTAATAAACGAACTAAAGTATAGGAGTAGAAAAAGTTATTGATATAATTATTTTTAAAATTTACCTTCAAGTTATAATACATATGTACATTAGGGTGTCCCTTATTTTTATTTATTTTACGCATACCCTCTAATTATATTTCAGACAGTTCAATAAGTTTTTGGTAGTCATCTCTCACAATAGACTCTTTTAGTTATTTAAAGTAAAACCCATTAAGTTTATCAATTTCAGAGTTTACGGCCTATTCAACAGACCCCTCCGGGTAACTAGCTACTCCCTGTGAAAATATACATTTTTATCAAAGTATACACATAAATAAAACTATATTTTAACATTTGTCAATAATTTATAATATAAGGGTCACATAATAACAAACACAAAATGACTTCACGACCAACCGTGTTACAAAATACCGCGCGCCTAACGTTGGCTAACGGATGGTTCAGATGCAAGTCGGCACGGGTTCCCGTTTATAGAATGAGCTGAAATTTTTACTGGGAGTATATAAACACGTAATAAATATAATTAGAGGGTATGCGTAAAAAAAATAAAAATAAGGGACACCCTAATGTACATATTATAAAATTTAATGTGTGAATAATAAAAGCCAAATGTATAATTTAACAATGTAACTATTTAAAACCTACATCTTATTTCCATAAAAGTGTTATGGAATTTTGTTGACACAATAAATAAAATATATTTATATATACGAGGTGTGTTCAGAACATATCTGGTATTTTCGTTTTTTTGAAACAAATATTTATTTATTCGTCTACATTAATGTTGTCGCCTTCAAAATAGTCCCCATTGGATATTATGCACATGTGCCAGCTCTTCTTTCAATAATTGAAACACTTCTAAAACTCGATCTTTGGGATAGCCTTTAGTTCTTTTAGCGATGCGCTTTTAATGTCATCTGTGCTTGCAAAATGCGCGTCGCGACGGCCCTTTAAGGTTCTCTTTATTTTTGGGAATAGGAAAAAGTCAGACAGAGTCGAATATGGAGGCTGGGGCATTATTACAGTATTGTTTTTGACCAAAAATTTTGTTTAAAATTTAACAATTTTAGAACAAATTTTGCTGCCACGCGCCCAAAACATTCGAAAAAATTTCATGGGATGAGCCAATCGATATACCAACATCATCATCGACTTCTCTGATGGTTTATAACCATTTCTTCCACTTTTTCCATGTTTTTATCGGTTGTTAATGTGCTTGTGCGTTCGGGGCGTTCGTCATCTTCAACGCCTTCACGGCCATCTTGGAAACTCTTATACCACTTGTAAACTCTTATTTTACTTATAGCAGACTCACTATAGGCCTTTGTTAACATTTCACAGAATTTATTTCATTTTTTAAGCAAAATTGGATACAAATTCTTTGATCCATTTCTTTTAACGAACGAAAAATCGCCGAGCTCATAATACACGTCTAACCTTAGCGGCTGCCACAGACAAAGTAAACAATGAAAACAAATAAAGTTTTTATCATATTTCGGGGGCATGTATACCAACATAATAAAGAAAATTTTTTGACAACCGGACCCTCCGAACCCGCGAAATTTAACAATTTCCGTTATTTTCTGAACGCACCTCGTATTCTTAATAATATTAGATAACACACTTGTGAATTAATTATTTGATATGATATCCTGCAAAGTATATATCAAATATAGAACCTAATATAATAAATAAGTTAGGTTATTAAAGTAAATATGCTAGAGCGATATTAATATCTCTTGAGAGACGATATAATATTATAACAAATATAATAGAATTTCTAGCCCAGAAATTCTTCTAAATATGTCAATAAATATCAGCATTGTTTACCCTATGTAGTATGTTTTAAGGTCGGCGAGTAACAGCGCGATTTGACGGATTTGAGACTTTTGCGCACCCAAGGTCATCCGCCATGAGATATTAATAGCACTCTACATATGAGTACATTAGATGCAAACCTCGGTTTATTATTATTATTAATTATTAAAAAAATTTAAACTAGAATTATGTTTGTATTTAATAATAGTAGCGACACGAGCCGGCCATTTCTTTTTACTAATTTTATTAAAGAATTTGGTACAATTTTGTGTAATTATTAAAAGCAATTAATGACAAATGTCAGTGTCAATTATTTTTTTAGAAAAGAACCACCGTACAATCGTTATAGTAGTGATAAATACTAACGTGGAAAAAATTAATATCTTGTCGTCTCATTGGACAGTAACCGTAAAGAAAGGGATAATTTTCTCCACAGTTTAAAATTGAGCTACTTTTTCAATTGATAACGAATAGGAACATTTTTTTAACCCTTAGATACCCAAGCGGGGTAACTTGGGTACCCCACTTTTAAACATTTGGCTGTAACTTTTTTGTGGATTTAAGTGGGAACCTTGCTTAAAGCTATTTGTCAAATAACGTTTGAGGTTATGTTTAAGAGACTAAGTTATTTTTTTTATTTTTTATTTATTCGAATAATTTTCTTTAATATACATAAGTCTAATTATTGTTATTCTAAAGATATTGAATATTTTAATTGGTATTGCAACACCATTGGATTTGAGTTTTTAAACCTGATGACCCCGCTTGGATATTTACGTTGATTTGCGAGGCTTGGGTATCTAAGGGTTAATATGATTGAAAAATCAGATAAATCCCCGCGCATTCGCCATTTTTGTAAATAAAATAAATTCATGTAGGTAACCAATTTGGTTAAACCAAATATTATCAGAGTGAAGTCAGAGGTTTTCTAATTTAAATTAATAAAAATATGTAAAAAAATTAGTTCGAATAATGTGGATTTTAAATATTTTATAAAAAAGTATACGATAAAGAATACAGTTTAGTTGATATCTTACGTAAAATAGGCTTTAATGTTTAATGTATGTTTTTAATGTCTGTTACACAATTATTTATTTAAAATATAATTTTATTTTTAATATCCTATAGTTTGTTTAATTTGTAATAAAATATCCCTAAAGCTTTAAAAATCAATAAAACAAAACAAAGTCTCGTTAAAGAAACAAAATAAGTAACTTTACTCTAAATCCTAAACAAGAAGTTAAGCTGAAAATGGTTGTTATTTGTAATATACATTTTCATAAAGCCTTTTTGCTTGGATTGAAACAATAAAACGTTTAAAATGGGTACTTTTAAAATATTTAAAATATAAATTCAGTTAAATAAAAATTGTTATCTTCTTAAGTAAAAACCGATCAACAACTTATTATTAGCACTGTATTTATGTCATAGTATATAAAAAAATATTACGACAAAGAATACATCAACTTAGAAACTTAACCTTCTTGAAAGGGTCTTTTACCATATTGTTTTATTTGCAGATGTCACATTGCCACATACTTTCCTAATGCACTGAAATTTCTCGGGCAACAAAAGTATACTTGAATTGGGACGCAGTGAAATAAAAGTGAGACTATTATACTTATCGTGTACTGAAGACATTAACGAGCCGTAAAAGTTCTTTAATTTTCTTTCCTTTCATTTAATTTTCGACTAAATACAGCTATAAGAATACTTTTTATTTTTATTTTTCAACTTTTTTTTATTTTAAAATGATTATAAACTTCTGAAAATGACAATTTTACACTCGTGCTGTTTTTGGAGGTCCGTCAGAGTTGGAAGTTACGTCTGTGGCATATATACAGCGGTAAGTTGTAATAATAATATAATAATCCTTTATTTAAATATAACTTTTATATAATTTTCTGTATAGAAATACAAAAAATACCTTCATATTCATTATAAATGGAAATAAAAATAATGAATAATTTTTTTTTTTAATTAAATCAAACAATCTTCTGGTAATTTTTAGTCTTAAGTCATACATATTTGGTTTACCTGTCTAATAATTATTTTTCTGTTTTTTGGTTGGAAAAAGAAAATCTTAAATTCTTCTCCTTATACCGGAAAAGGTGCTGGCAAAAAAATTGATAGGGTATAATTTTTTTGCATTTACCAATTTTTATAATTTAATAAATAATATATGTGGGTAAATCTCACGAAATGTCCCCTGATGGTGTTACCCCGTGATATTTAATAAATCTAAATGAGTTTGACCTACACTTTTATTGTGTTTTGATCTTTCATAATTACGTAGATATAAAGCCCGCTGCACAACAGTCCGGTAACGGGAACGGGAACGGAAATCCTAACAATAAAGGTGGGAGAGACTAAAAAACCACTGTTGATAGATAGGGTTCGCTAAGTCTCTCCTACCTTTACCGTTTAGTTTCCCGTTCCCATTACCGGGCTGTTGTGCAGCGGGCTTAACAGTTCAGGTTCCAGATTTTTAACCGCATTTAATTATTTTTTACAATGTTTTAAAAGTCTAAAACCTATCCTCCGTGACTGTTACTCTTTCTAGGTTAACCTATATGTTTTCAAATATCTGAGGTAGTAAAAACATACTAAAAATATCAGTTTACTAAGTAAATTAAACACATCCAAATCGAATCAAATATAAAATCGAATCAAATATAAAATCGAATCAAATATAAAATATTATTAAAAATTAAAAGAAATAATTTTTATAACCATTTATGTAGGTGTTATTAAAATTGATTCTACCCTCCGTGAATCTGTTTTTGCTTTAAATTTTATGCAATGGATGGCGCTTTAATTATTTTAAATAAGCAAAACCTCCGTTTACGACATTATAGATGCATGTGATTCTTGAAGGTCAGTTAGAATTTATATGCAGATGAGAGTGTTGCTGTTTTATAATCAAAAGTTTAACTTTATTAATTTGCTATTTTAAAACCTATCCACCGTGAAGTGTAATATCTTAGTAAGTAAATTTTTTTATAAATATTTTATGTATGTACAATTGAGGAGCATCCGTGCAAAACCGGCTAAATCCATTTTATTCAGTTTTTGTTTTTTTTTTTGTTTTCGCATCTTTGGGTTCATTTCTATCGACAACCAAGATAATTCTGTTTAAATCCGACTATATCTATGTTAAAATCACATTTAAAAGGTAGCTTTAGGGGTAAAACTGGGTATGTTTTTATATCAAACCCGGCTATATCCAATAAATATAATATGTGACTTGGATATGTCAATACTACTACTAAATTACTAAATTTATTTTGTTAATATTTTTAAATAATAAAGGTTTTTTTTTCACATTTTATTCAAGAATTAGATTCTAAAGTATAAAAAGTTAAGAACTAACGGCAAAAAAATTACATCTTTTTTTTTAAACGTTCCTAACATATTGCATTTGCCCCGAAAAATGGGGCAAATATGTTAGCGGCTGATTACTAAAGATGGGATATTTAGGTACTAAAAACTGAAAAATAGGTAACTAAAAAGGTACTAAAAAAAGCATTTTAGGTTAAAAAAACAGCATTTTAGGTAAAAAAAAAACGTTATAAGTTCAAGTTTCGTTTATAATTTTGTTTAGTCGCATACCCAAACACAGAACATACCCACAATAAACTATTTCTATGCAATAACCTGTGTTTCACTAAGTGACACTCACTACATAGAAGTTTTATGACAGAACATAAGCTCACTACAAATAAGGTAACTGTAAAGAAAGTTACTGTTACAGTCTGTGACCATAAGAAAAAATTTTATACCGTTGAGTTGCACGCCCTGGATAAAATATTGGCGGAAAATTTAAAAAGAACACAAAAAAATAAAATAAGTAAAAATACGTAAAAATAGATAACAGATATGTAAAAAAAACTGACGAATTAAAAAATATGTATAAAAAGGTAGTTTAAAGGTAGTTTAAAGCAAAAACCTCCAAAAAAGGTAAAAAAGGTGAAAACAAGTTAAAAAAATAGGTAACAAAATTATAAAAAAGGTAGTTTAAAGCAAAAAAGCCAAAAAAGGTAAAAAAGGTGAAAACAAGTTAGGTTCATTATTGGTTTTCAAATAGTTACATCGGTTGAAAAAAGGTAAAATAACTAAAATCCCATCCCTACTGATTACATTACACTATTAATGTATTTAAAGTGGGTATGGGGCTAATGTAAAAGAGGAAAAAAATAGGATTATTTTGGTGTAAAATCGTGTAAATCCGTTAATAATCATAAGGTGTGCAAACTTTTTTTAATTTTAATTTAAGAATTAACAGACTACGGTTAATACAAAAAGGAAAAAACGATTTATTATTAAGTACTTAAGTGTTACTGCGCAGTAGTTGTCGGGATTTCTCTACTTAGATATGAAACCCAAGACAACAGCGTGCGTTTTTATTCGTTTGCTTTTATTTACTACTGCAAGTAAGAATTTTATCGCAAGATGTGACATTTACCCCAATCTTACAATTACCCCACCTTACCTTACCACAAAGCCCACAAAACTCAAGTTTGCTTTTTCTTTTATCTGTAAAGGCCAGGAAACCGAAAGTTTTTGCCATTTTCCCAAAATTTTATTAAAGTGGATATAGCCGGTTTTGCACGGATGCTCCTCAATTGTATTTTAAAAAAATATTAAGGTGTCAAAAGATACAATAACTTATTTCAAATATACAAAGGTTTAAAAAAAACATACGAAATCCTAACCTCCGTAAAGCGATCTTCCGTAAAGCTCTAATATTAAAAATGTATGATTTCTTAAAATTCTTGCATTAGTGCAGAACCACTTATGTTATGTTATTACTAGACCTGGTGTCTTCCCAAAAACCCCATTCTAGACTAACAGTGAAACAACCAAAAATAAAAAATAATCATTTTTACTTGGGGGACATCTCAATATATTCACCCATGTATACATAGCTTTTTATGTCCAGGTAAATTTTAAAATTTGATCTGGTTTTAGACATTTACTGTTCTATAACATCTTTTAAAAGGTTTCTATTTTAAAATAAAGGCGTCATTTGAAATAATTCTAACGCTTATAATTATTTCTAATTTGCAATATAACCTATGATAATAATATAATAACACCCAAAGCAGAATCAGTATGCGGCGCAGAGCACAGAACAATATATGCGCAGACTGCGCCGAAGACAACGCATAGCGGAAAGGTGCGGGCAGAAACATTTCCTATGAGTTAACGGCCTCGTTGGAACAGAAGGGTATTCAGAAAAATTAATTAATTTAATAAATTGTAGAATAAACAATTAAATAATGATATTATTTATTTATTTAATTTGATGCCTCAATTTTTTTAACATGTGGGTAATATGTTTTTTGCTACGCTTGTCGAAGCCAATCGGGGGCCCCCCTATCCGGGGGCCCCGTATCATTGATACGGCTGATACCGCGGTAGTTACGCCCCTGCTTAAATTGTTTAACGTTATTTTAATTAAAAGTAATATTTCAATGTATCCCTTAAAAATGAACTAACCACCTTTTAAATCCGATATAGAAGCAGTTTTTTTACAGTGAAAGTAAAAAAAATACTTCATTGGCACTCCACAGTGGAGTCTCCACACAAAATTTTTAAAGTTAAATCTAGTTTACTGCCGGCGAAATTAAAAGGTCAGTACAATGTTTATATAAACTTTTTAAATATTGGCGTTGGAAACTATTTGATACTTTTGTATTGAGATAATAAAATAATTTTTATATTTAGTATTATTTTAACTAACTTAAAACTAACTTCAGCCAGTGACTAAAAACCTGTTGACAACTTAGTGTCATGGGAACATGTACGATAATGAGCGATTTAAAGGTGGGAGTAAAAAAATATTAATTTTAACTAAACATCCATTTATATATATATATATATATATATATATATATATATATATATACGTATAATTGGTATGTTGTTTAGCCCGAGATACTATTGGGGCGCTCTACCACCCACCATTTCTAACGTGGTTAGACGAGTATATATCTTTGCTAAGTGTTTGTTAACATAATTTAATTTAGGAAATACCAAGAGGGGTAAATATATAAGTTAATTTAATGATCTCTTTATTTATGGTACGTTGTAAAGCCCATAAGATATATATAGTACGTTATTCATCCCTCGTGTATGTAAAAACCAAGCAGACGGTTCTTGTTTAGCCCGCAACGTTGCCGGTTTTCACCAAGCCAACGCGTACGAATTGTCCAATTAGAACAGCGCTATCCACCTGTTTTGTTGCCACGCGGCGATCACGCGACATAAATTTGCATTTAATGCCTATTTTCGTATTATTCTTCATACGTTCAACGTTGTGCATGATGCACAGTGCATCCCGTTTTACTTTTAATAATTATCATACACGCTGGTCCAAAAGTAACCAATAATAATTTAAGAATCAATGAAAAACGTTAAAATAATATTAATTTTCTTAATAATATTATTTTAAAAATTCAAAATCCAAGGGATTAAGTTGCATATATTTTTTAGAATAAATAATTAATTTACAGCACATGGATGAGTATGATCTTTTAATTTGGTGGGAAATGTTTTTATACTACAAGCAGTGGTAATAATCTCTTTTTAAAACAAAAAAAAGTTACTCCAATGATTTAAAAAAAAATTGTTTTAAAATAAACAGTCAATTAAAAAAAGTTATTTACAGCACATGGATGAGTATGATTTTTTAATTTGATGGGAAATGTTTTTATACTACAAGCAGTGGTAATAATATCTCGTTTTAAAACAAAAAAAGTTATTTTTTTGTTAAATGTATCGTTTCACCATTGAGTTCTTTACTCAATGGTTTCACAGTAACATTGAAATACCAATTTACTG